AATGCTGCCATTCTGACCAGTTGGAGGAAAGAGCTGCCCTGGCTGCGCTCCAATCGTCGCCCCATCGCATACACTTTCCTTTGCAGGGTTTGCAAGGATAACGACTGTAAAAGTGTTGAACACGCGGCCGAGGGGGTAGGGAAAAGCTCTCCAGACAAATCAAAGCAGGTCTGAAACAAACCTTGTATCCAGCCAATGTCGTGGTAACTCCATTTCTAGCACAACATTCTCGGTGATCTCGTCCCTGCGCTGCACAGTACTGAATGTCGGCAGCAGCTTGCATTGGGCACATGTCCTGTTTGAAGTACATTGCCTGAAACAGTAAAGGATCGAGGTGGTGCTTCCACTGTCGTCTATTAGTTTTGTTGATTGGGAGTTTTGAACACCTTTTTCACAATATATAATGATAAGGCTTTCCGAGGGCTTAGAAATGGTGTATATTAGCGTCCAGAGGGCCTTTCCGAATTCTTTCCCTTTCTTCCATGTCTACGTTGCTCCGACGGGCCAACTAAGTCATCCATCCCCTTCGTGCTCGTCAGTTGATGCCAGGCCCTCTCGGAAGGTATCGTGGGTAACTATCTTGTGAGCGGCTGGTCCTCCACTTGTCTTCGTCCAGGCTAAGCAGCATTGTTCTCTCAAATAGTAACAACTACTGTTGCTGTTGCAAATTGCGGTGGTTTTTTTAACTACAATTCTATCAATCGAAATTGATTTTATTTTATCAATACCTAGCGGTAAATCCTTGAAAATGCTCAGAAATATGATGAGCAGGTGTTTATCGTGGAGACCTCGCGAGTTTCTCTTGGTCCCACCATCCCAAGCCTTCAAAGTCAACCATCCGACAGTTTACATGGCCATTGCCGCATTGTTCTCTCAGAATGAGTATGGAAGCCGACGTAGCGCAACCGTGACATAAAAGACGGGGGGCTGACCTGGCAGAGCCGACTTCCTTATTCGGCCTACGGAATGAGCGCACGCTAGTCGGGAGTGGCGGCTGGTTTGCACTACACTTTTTCCCCCTCTTGTTCAAAGCGCCGATTCCTGAGGCGGAAGTTAGAATAGGGGAGTGGGGCATCCGCAAGCGGGAACCGATTAAACCTTCGAAAGCTTCAACTTCTTAGTGTGTGCAAAGTAAAAGTAATTGCTCGCTTGTTTCGACAGGTGTGGCTTACGAGAGAGAGGTGGAACCTATCAAGAGAGTTCACCTAGACGTGATCCTCAAGTACCTTTGTGTAGAAGCGGTTATGCCAATATGTGAAGGAGCTGATACACCCACTTCAGCACCCCACTTTACAGTCGTTTATGGGGTATTTATTTTTTTTAGAGAATGTTCAAAAAAAGGGGAAAGCTGCGTAATCGCTATCTTGGCTTTAATCTGCTATAAACATGTACGTTTTAGTATTTACAATGTCATTGGCAGACAGGAATCCAGGTCACGCTGGTTTGCGTGCACTCAATGATCCATGTTTCTTCGTTTGGGGTAGTGAAACTCGTTTGTTACGCGAGATCTATTTCTGCCATGGAACAGGAATCGTACCCGTTGTTACATAGGGAAGAACATGAGACACAAGGTCAAACTCTTGTTAAATAAACAACGATCCCATTGGATTATTTCCGTTAAACTAGTCTCAGATGAATCGGTATTTTACGCCTATGAAAACGGGATTATTACACCCTACTTCTACTGAATCCCATGGCAGCGTAACGGGTAGCTAGAAAAGTCTTCTCAGCTTTTTCAAGTGGAATAACCATCATGAGAGTGCTGAGTTATGGGCAAAAAGCAGATCCCAGGCGGGACCCCAACCGAACGTCTTTCACACGAACCCCATATCAAGCTGAAACAACTTCCAAACAACTTGCCTTACTCTTTCATCAAGTCATTCCCGAATCCTTTCCTTAACTCTTACCTCACTGCTGACATCCGGGGTTGCCGAAATGGAATAATGCTCGTACAAAGGGAGGAAACGAACTGAACGAAAGGACTCATCTGTGTTTAGAGCGTTCTTCTTTCTTCGTTCAGAGTGAGCTCATGGCACGTCATCGTTAAGAGGTCCACGATAGGGAAGGGAGGGGAGAGGGAGCAGGAGGGACTGCTGTCTTTGGCCTGATGGTATTTTTCATTCATGATTTTTGCAGTTCCCAAGGCACTATTTATATACGGCAGGACCGGGCACCGCAGTTTTAGTATAATAGGTGTTGGTCGGTCCGCTCCTACCCCCTCGCCCCCCAACTCAGGCTTGAGGGACATTGAGGGAAGTCATACTCCGAAACCTCCCGAAAAGGATCAGGTACCCTGTTTGAGCTGTGGTTTTTGATTACTTGCTTTGTATTCTTCCCCATACCCGTCTGCGCACTGTAAACTGGAACATGACCATGTGGGGCCTTGAGAAGTATACAAGGTCATCAACACCCTCAGACCATTTTTATGTTATCTATATCTCTTTTTCTTCGCCTACCCAATCCCGTCGACGAGCTTCCCGAGTTGACAAAAACAACAACAAGTTTGACTTTCAAGTAGAATGTACTAAGGCATTTTCTCTTTAAAACTATTTGGAAAATGCCAAATACAGTTCCCGCGCTTTACCAATTTGAAGAATTGGTCCCTTGCCCAAGTGGTCCGGTGCCTAATTGCAAAGGCCAGCTCTGCGGCTCCACAATGAGTTACGGTGCCGCGGCTATCTCAAGTCGCAGTTAAATACGGTATCCCGTACCGTATTCTCGGCAGGATTGCTAACAAACTGGTTGAGTGTGGGACTCTTATTTTTTTATTTGGAACTTCTAGCAATATAATTTCGTTGCATTGGGGCATAAATTACATGAAACTTTTCGCAATGACTTTTAGAGATGCGCTCTAGTTAGTTATCAAACACTAAGTAGGTAGGTATTATAGTTAGTTAAAAAACAGTTAAAAAATACCTGAAGAGCTGCCTTGGTGTAAGTCCGGAAGGAGCACTTGTTGAGACATGAGTCCGGAAGACTTCTATCGATACAGCATTGCATAAATTTCTCGTCAGGAGTAGTTGGTTTCTAGAATAACTCCTCTTACTTCAAAGTAACTTCAAATTTTTGTCACGAACAGAATTACTCTTACTTTCTCTTGGCCGTCCACAGACAACGTACGAGCTGAAGCGGCACGTGCCCTAGCACGGTAGCAACCATAATGACCACAGCTATAACCTCCACCACATCCTCCTGGAAGCGAGTCATATAAAGGCCTCATCTTGTAGACCTAACTTTACTTTAATGCTCACCACCGCAAACTGGAGCTGGAGGAGGTGGTGCACAACCTCCACCACAAACTCCTGAGTTAAAGCATGCAGATGTGAAGTCTATGGAGGAAGCAAGGATCAGAAGCAAGGACGCGACGAGCATTTTGGGCATCTGAAGATACCAATAGTGCATTACTAGTAACACTTGAAAGTAACTGTATTTCTTGAAGAATAAAGAGCAAGAATGCCAAACATAGGAAGGAACTACAATTTACTAGAGAAGATCAGAATATAGTAATAGTAAAGTAGTAATAGAAAAACTAAACAAAAAAAGGAATGAGGAGTTTTTCATCTCCTTGAATGAGGAGTTTTTCATCTCCTTCACACTGACTAGTTTGCATGTGTGGAATGTGTGACGAGAGGCACCGTGCTGGGTCCCTTTTATACCAATCGGCGAGCTGCGGGGGGGGGGGGCAAGGCGATCGTCGCCGTAGGGACAGAAAGCGTGTAATACGACGGTGAGTCACAACATGAAGATACCGCCTCAATGTCAGGAAAACTCGAAGAGGCTTAAGTTCGGCGAATCTCTTATGAGGATGGGGAAAATCACCAGTTGAGTAAGCTGCCATTTAAATTGAAAATTTAAATGACGCCTTCCATTACAGCCGGTCAGAGACCGTCACACGTGGGAAAACCCATCTAGAGGGGGTGTTCAATGTATTCTCGGTAAAGGTATGAAGGAAAAGGCAGAAAATTCCGAATAAAATTTATTTTTTCAATTAGTCCCCCATAACCTCTATGCACTTGTTTGCTCGAAAAATTCACGTTGCTCGGAAAAATAACTTTTCAGTACCCTCTGAAATATTTCTTTGTCCCCAAAAATGTAATTGCCGCCTTCAGCTCCTCATCGCCAGTAAAACGCTTTCCACGAACATCTTTTTTGGGCTGGGGAACATGAAGTAGTCACTAGACATTTTACCGATTTTCTTTTCATTTTCTCTAGTTTTTTCATTTTTCTCAATTTTTTAATTACTAATCATTTCCTCAACATTGTCGCGCCAAGGATA